AGTCTTCAAATACAAACATCTGTCTAAGCTTAGTTCTTGCATTTACCAAAAGGTTCACGTAGCACCTTATCATCCCAACTACAAATAATTGCATCCAGGGAAAATTTAAGTGGCTCTCATTTTGAAAGTCCTCTGGCACTGCCAAGCATTGTTACTTCCTATCTTTTTTTCGTAGTGTATCAAACTCTCATGTTATGTCCTATAAAGTGTCCTAGAGCTAAATGTTCTTCAGCGTTTTGCTCAAAAATAAAGGGGGAGGAGGGGAGAAAAAAATGTTTGTGCTCCACTTTTCCTAATGATACCTTGTTTTGTAATTACTAAAAGCATCACAGCCTGTAGACAGCTGCTGACATACAGAAAATAAGGTCCTTGAAACTGTTTGTTTCATCATATTTTAAGAATTAATACCTTAGGTCATGTTAATCAGTTTCTGATATATGTAGTTTTCAAAATGCACTTCAGGGAAGAAAATGCTGGAAATGACTAATAACAACAAAGCTATGAACTTTATTCGTTATATATCTAACTCTGAATGTGAACATTACCAAAGTACTTTGCCATCTTAAGTATTTAGGAAGCCTTAAATAAAAAATAAATCCAACTCATTCAGTGAAATAGAACATCCTCTTTTTCCAAGCAAGAGTTCAAATTTATTAATTTTGTAGCTATATTTTAAAATGAGTGTCAGCCCCTGCTAGATGACTGTATGATAAGTGTCCTGAAACTTCAGGAAAAGGCACTAAATTTTTCACAGCATTTGTGTTTCATTTTCAGTGTAATAAAAATATGGTGCCCTTTTAATAATGAATAATAGATCTTCTGGCATGATTTACATGCGTGGATTAAATGTCATGTTTGAAAAGTTGCTGTTTTATTCATATTGAATTTCCCTCAAGTAAAACAAAATGGTACCCAGCTACTGCTATAATATTGCTAGTACCTTGCCATACTGATACATAAATATTAACCAGTTGATATACCCTTTAAAAATCTACAGATCTGTGAATCGTTCTGTCAGCAATGATGGCTTTATATGCATATGAACGGATTTAGTGCTATCCCAAGTTCCAGGTACATTGAGGAAAATACATAGCACCAGTGCTCACACACTTCTGCAGTACACTTTTTTTTCTTGCTGAACTGCCAGTTTTGGAAGGCTGGCACAGGATAAAGACCAATGCCAAACAGGTGCAGCGGGACCAGGGTTAAAAAGCAGCTTGGGAAGCCCAACACTGACATAATTGTTCCTGCTTCTCCTCAGCAGTTCTGGACTGACATCTCAGGTGACCGGATGGCTTAATGAATGGTTTTTTAAATGTCGCTTGTGGGCGGTCTCATTGGATTACAGTGCTTTTTGCAATAGCTGAAAATTTCCTACCTGAACTTCCCCTTCTGAATAAAAACTTGCTTCTTAACAGGCAATTTTTTTTTCTGGAAAAGCATTCCAGAAATGTTTATAATTTATTGCAAATACTGGAAATAGGAACATCTGCCTCAAAGCTTCCTTCTCTTATAAGGTGAAACTCGTGATATACAAGAAAATAGTTTGGTCCTGATAATAGAAATCATAGCTGAAAATTTTTTTTTAGTGAAGCGAAGCATTTTAGCCACAGTCCAATTTTTATTCCATTAAAGCCGATGCGTATTTTGATTCTGAAAAGTGAGGATTTGTTCTTATTTTCGTAATTGTTTCATGAAAATGTTTTAATTTTTACTGAGGAAAAGCTGGAAAAAAAACCCAACAGTTTTTCTGAGCAAAATTAATCTTTCACATACCACAACTCACCTGTGCTCTTCAAGTCATCAATAAGCTGAAAAATGTAATCTGGACTTGCTAACACTGGGACACGGATCCCACGAAGTAGTAAGACACTGCTTTAAATACACTGTGAACAAAAATGTTTACTGACTACTTAGGTCTTATCTATAGTAGAATCTTAGCCACCATGAGACAGCAATAAGGAAATTATACTAGTAAAATCCTTGATCTAGCGTAAAAAGGATGCAGTCACATCTGTGCAGGCGCTGCCAAGGACGGTCTAATTGCATAACTGCCTTACTAGATGCACAGTAAACATCTCATCTTATTTCCTATCCTCTCCTTACCGAACTTTCATTCCGGACCTGAGGAAAATCAGGCAGTGCAAGAGTATATTGAAAGTTTAAGAACAAAGCTTCTTTACCGCCAGAGTTAACCTACTGTATTTTTTGAATCTCAGCTTGAATTCATGCCCATTTTGTGTTATAATGAAGGTGAAGCTTTAAAATAGCTCTTGCTTCACCTAAACCAGACAGCATTAACCCATCTAAGTCTAAAGCTCCTTGCATCAACTAAATATATGAAAACATCCTTGACATGCTAAGGTCTAAAAGAAGTCTCCTTCAGATCATGCTGCTAGTTGCTACTCCTAAAGAGTGAGTTGAAAAAACAATTGCATTTTATCACAACCCAAAGCGTTTGTACGTTTTTTTGTTCAGCATAATTTAAGGGAAAAAAATTACTTGTGAAGCTGACTGGTCTTGCTGAAAGCCAAATATAATTCAGCTGGAGCTATTAGGAGCCACTGCCTAATACGTAGTCAGAGGTTATTGGGGGAAGTTGGTTGACAAACTAAAAAGGAGGACAGTGAAGGAGGGGAAAGAAGGAAATCTGGCAAGCTGGAGCAAAGAACATTGATTAATGAACAAAAAACATTTTTGAAAGGTCGAGTGTGCAAGTCAGACTAGCCCTGAGGCAGATCTAACCTACATGACCAGCACTTTCTGTACGCAGCAGGTAACCCATGCTGACACCAACTTTGCCAACATGACAGGGTTATTATTTTTGGAAGGATGTAATGTTCTGGAACAATTTCTCCAATATATTAGTTAAAACTAAGCTTTCTTTCAATATCAAGCATGCATGTCTTCATTTTCACCATGTTTACACTCAACTCCTATCATTATTCCAGCCAGTGAAAACAAAAGTTTATTTTTCATTTGTGAGCACTTGTATTTCCACTCCCTGTAATACATCCCTGGGCAGCAGGACTGTATATAAGATCGTGTTCAAATGCAGATGTTCATCTGGAGCTCACCAGTAAGACCTCACTACTTACGCTAAGTTTTGCGGTAAATGCTAACTATCTGAAGCCTAAAACTTGCCTCATCTCAGCACGAATCCTAAAGGTTTCTTTTGAAACATACCTTAAGGTTATGGCCCAATACCAAGGTGGAAGAACAGAAAGGTAGAATCATCCAGGGTACAACACCTATGTCTTCAAACCTTTAGAGGTTCTCTAAAATTAAGACATCAAGCTTTTCCTGAAGACAGGGAATCATCAGGAGGTCATTTAACCCAACTTCTCCTCCCAGTCCTGCATTTCAAGCGGACTTGCTCAAGACCTGCACCCTGGTTCACTAGACTAAAAATGAAGTTTGATGAAGACGCTAATTAAATGTCATGGGTAAGACTCAGAGAGCACTTTAAAAAAAAAAGCCTCTGGAAGAGTAGTAAAACTACCAAACATTTCTCTCAGACATTTGGACGAAGCGTAATAGCCACCTTTAAGCAGTTACTGAGGTGTCTGCACAAGCCAGTAGAGACTAAAAGAAAGACAAGTACACGGGCTTTGCACATACTCCTCACAAATCCATGTCAGCTGTTCCTTTGCATTGAGGAGCAGCTGGACAAAGGGCAGGTCAATCTGAACTAGCTCTTGCTTAGTGCTCAGAACAGAGATATGCAGTTTTGAACAGTTTTCCCCATGTAGAAGCAAAAGCAGCAGGCAAGACTCAGGAGAAGCAACATGCTGAAAGCAAGAGGCAGGGCATGCTGGAGTCGTTCAGTCGTACTGCCTGTAGTCTTCTTTCAATGAAGCCCAAGAAGACAATACTTTGTCTTTGAGGCAGTAAGCAAGATGTGTGCGGCCTGCCTAGGGAGGAATCGCAGCCAAGTGATTTCTCTGACAGATACGGGTATTTGTTTAAACATCATGTGACAGTTACAGTTTCCCTCTGTATAGACATGATTCTTTTCGTACCAAAAGCTGTATTGACAGACACTGTTCATTGTCCATTACAGATGATAAAAAATTAAAAAGCAAAAAAATGTCACTTTGCAGCACTTATATATATCACAAACCCTGAAATGGCCTATTCACAAGTAACCGAAAGCATCAGTGCCATATATAGAAGTTGCTTTATCTGAAAGCTCTTCAGGATAGGGACTGCCTGTCTGTTCTGAATCTACACACTTCATAAAACAGAAGGGGTAGAGGAGGGTATCTACCGTTCAGGTCATACTGAAAAATAAATAATTGAAAACGGAAGAGACTCTCCTCCTCATCCTACTCATAACACAAAAAAAAAAAAAAAAACCAAAAAAAACAGACTGAGATGGGGATTGTGTTTCAAACTGTAGAGAAGCTTTCATGTGCCAGGGAGTTTATCCGAGACCAATGTTCCAACCAGCACTAGGCATTAGCTACAACAGTGAGCAACTGACACACCACAATCCTGCCACGCACAGCATGCTTAGGCAGGAAAATATGTGTGCCTCAGTCGCAAAAGACAGAATAGAGCCTCAAGTGTTTGGGCTCCTTCCAAAATAATCCAAATGCTGCTTTTTTGGCAAATGGGGGTCAATGGAGCTAAAAACTCACAGAAGGATTTGGGCATTCATGTGTTTATATACACCCACTCGTTCATTTATTATTCTAAAGCTACTTTACAGAAATCAAATTACATAGCTGACAAGCTGCATAGATAAGAGAGAATAAAAGTAAAATTTAAAATTAGCTGACAACACTATATGATGTAGTGTATATTTGGCACTTTTAGAGTGAGTGATGAGGGTTAACCTAGGGGGGAAAAAAATGCACCTTCCTAAATTGCACCTTAAATTATTAAATAAATTATGAACATGATGGAATGCATTAAATATATAAGCCTGAAGGAGAAAGAGCGGATGTGTTTTAACTTCCAAAGCAAAGACAGCATATTTAAGAAGTGTTACTTACTGTCTGGATACTTTGTCCGAAGTAGATTTCAGTATTGTAGAAGTTTCCATTGTGACTAACAGGCAGTGTTGTCCTGGCCTGAGGCTGCTCCTTCAGTTTGGGCCACTCCAGCAAGCCACTACCTAAGCGGCCGCAAACAGAAACTTTGAGGGTGTAGTGGCCTTTAGGGACCTTATCTTTGACTCCCCTCAGGCATTTGATGTGAATTTCTATCGGCTGTGGTGTCTTGGAGCAGTCAACCTAGGGAGAAGGCTCTGAGTTACTGACCTGAGTTAAGCTGACTTTAACCATACAATTAGCAAGAACAAATTTCTTCAAGAAAATAACTACCAAAAAGCAGACAACATGCTTCTTGTTCAACCTGCAATTACCTATTGCTAAGCAAGGATCTGCAATTAGGGAGGTCAAAAGTCATAGAGATGACAGATAAAAAAATAATATAAATACTACTAATAAAATGTTCGGCATCCTTGGGGGAAGGTGGAGCTGTTGAAGTATGACACCAGAAGCCATTAGTCTGCAATAATAAGGCAGAATTAAGTGGAAAACAACACCTTCAAAAATATAGCATGCTTTGCAAGACTGGCACAATACATGATGTGATGAGCAGGCTGCAGGCACAGAGTGAAAGACAGAGCAGGCCATGTTTTTATAGTAATTATTAGCCTTGCCAAAGCTATTAGCGCTGTGTAACATGCAGACTATCCTTTCACCTTCTGATTATCATATAATCAGATTCTCTTAAAAATAGTAATCAAAGTGCAACATGTGTAGAGTTTAATAACAACTCCCTACAGGCACCTTTATTCCAAGTCCAGACAAAAGGAAACATCCGCCGCTTGCTGTTGATAAGATGTTGTCTGAGTTACAGAATGCGTAGTATGGAATAAATGCTGTGCTGCATAACAGAAATGCCTTTCTGGTGCTTTCCTTGTGTGCTCAGCTTACAGTACGCAGGTTGGCAGAGGGGAACAGACAGAGCAGCATGATCCTTACGAGTCTTGCCGGAGTAAAGGCGTAGGGTCTGTCCCACTACACCAGCACATACTTCAGTGCTGCCCCAATGCAATCTGCAGGGTCAGGCACATAACAGGGAGTCCCAGTTTGGCTCCAGTATTGACTTTAATGAATAAAATTGCTTTTGCAATAGCTAATTATATAGTGCTTCAAATCAGCAATGACTCCCCCCCCCCCCCCCCCCAAGGATTCTATGTCTTCCATTATTTTGAGAAAACACTAGTGCTAGGTCATCTTCTTTTAATGCAATGCGATATAAGAACCCATGCCACACTTTGGAATCAAATGGCTACCTTGACTACTAGGTTTAGTAGTCTCACAGTTTAAGGCTACGGTAGCTCATAATCTCTTCTTTAGTCCTGTCTTGGATTTATTTTGGAAGAGATATCATATTTCCATTTAGATAGAAACCTTCCGGAATTAAATTAAACAGTTAAATAAACAGTTGAATTTGCTAAACTTCTTTTGTTTCTCAACACAAACCATACTTAACAACTAATCTGAATGACAATTATTTTCAGCTTAATTAGAAAATCTTAATTAACAATGAAGATTTAACCTTAATATTTTTGGTTTCTGAATCATATAGAAAAAAAAATTAACATTATGTGAATAAATAAGACAATCTTTTTAAACCTCAAGGCAGGATTACTGATGCAGGCAGACTTCGTTATTAAACACATTCTAAATTAAACGCCTCTATGGATTTTATACTGAAATATATTGTGATAGTTTTGCATGCCAAATGTGACATTTTGTATTTTAGATTCATCTTCTGTAGTAATTTTGGAAATGTCATACAAACAAAGATTTTGTCATTTACCAATGGAATTACTATGCATGGCCGGTTAGCCATCTCTTTTCTGGCTCTTCTGGTTGTTTCAAGTCAGCAAGCCATAAAAAATCTTTATCTCTCTGAAACACAGCAATTTGGAAGATAATCGAATAGTGACTGGGGGGCAGAAACGCCAGTCTGAGGAATTATACCACAATCTCTCTTGCATTTACAACCTTCCTCAAAGCGAGTGTCAGTCGAGTAGGAAAAGGAGATAGAAGATTCATCATATTTCAAGCTTGTCTCATTTGCATGGTGGCATAGCTGTCT